ATATTATATTCTATATATTTTTATATGCCTTTATCTTTCACTTGATCTCTTCATCTACTTTAAATTGAACTTATGTTAGACATAGAAACGTGTATACACACATGCTTTCTATCCTTCCGTACAGTTCGATCAGGGCAAAGTAAGAAAGTTGGAATTTGTTAGACGGCTGGGAACCAGGACCATCGGTGGTCACGCTTCATTTCGTCGTGTTCAACTAGCCCTAACCGTTCTCGTTTCTTTCCTAAGTAGTCCGAAGCTCTTCTTTACCAACCCATCTCTTTTTCTTCCTCATCGTAAAAAAGAGAAAACAGTTTCGATACACGCCTGTACGAACCTATAAAAATCACGCTTTCCCTTTTTTTTTTTTCCTCTATTACTCTCTGTCCTTATTTCACCTTTATTTCCTCTTTCTCTTTCTATCTTTTATTTCAGCAGGAGTCACGAAACCAAACGAGTTCCACTTTTCTTTCTTTACCCTCTCAAGAGCACCCTTTGCCTTTCTTCTTTTCCCCCATTTTTCCCTCCCTTCCTCTCGCTAGCCAAAGCCACGAGTCGTATATTGGATCACGACGAGGGATAAATAAGAATCATTCGGTCCTTCGAAAAAATTAACGGAACTTCCTTTTTAATATTTGATACAAATACATTTTCTATCTTAATACTATAATATAAACTCCCCTCTACTCTCCCCCTACCCCAAAATAAGATTATAATATCTCAGAAAAAGAAAAAAGTAAATGATTTTGAATAAAAATCAATGATCTTTGGCCTGGATGTGTATAAAATTGCGTTAAAAAAGCAATCTAGATTTCTAATCTTATTCTTTCCTTGTTCTCATTATTATTATTATTATTATTATTATTTTATTATAATAGTAATTGTCCACAACGAAGACACGTAAATGATGGTATATGCTTTGTAGTCTTATGCAAAGGAAAGGCAAATTGTTAGCCGGTAAAGCAAACTGAAATGGATAGAGAGACAGATACAATGATAACGGATACATACGTGAATATGAAATAGAAAGAGAAAGGGAACCTTTAAAATCTCTTGCATCCGAACATGAGAAATGTCCACACAGAAGGTACATAAACGGAACAGAGAAAGTCCACACGAGAACAAGAGATTGGCGACTAAGCGTGCATAAAGCCAAAGCAAAGCCACGTTTGGTCAGTATTCGACGCACTATGCGGATGTTTAATTACTCTCTCTCTTCATAGAGATACTAAATATTCAAGCGACTGTGAGATGACTACTTGGACGAAAAGAGAGAAAAAGAGAGAGAGAGAGAGAGGGAAAGAAAGAGAGACATAGATCAGTGTATGTATATAACATAGTCTAACATGCATATAAACGATAATTGCGAGTCTGCAGTTTGTGTTCAACCACGTACGTTTCATTAAAACTAAAGATAAAGTTCACTGCTATATCGTAATGCACTACTCTAATTTTCCACAACCACGAGTAAATATACCAGATGTTTCTCATTTTAAACGATATAGATCAAATAATTTCGATCCTATTGGTCTTTTAAACAAATGTTACGAGTAATAATGTTAATAATAATAATAACAATAATAATTGACAAGTATATTTTTACATTTAATTTGAATGCAATGATTTTACAAAACGTATGCCTTCCTCAAGATACGAAAGAACTTTTAATAATTATTTTTAAGTACAAATCTATATTTTAAACATATTAAATACGGATTTAACGAGAACCAACAATGTGCCCTGATTTTTTTTTTTTTTTTTTTTTATCAATTTATCAGGTTTCCTTATGATATTATTAATATTGTATTAATACTGATTATAGATAAAAGAAAAACCACAAGATCTATGGTACTAAATTCGATATTAAATATAAACGAACAATATTATTTAACCAAAGATGAAACAATTATTCTGAAAATTGACATTTCTGTTCATTGAAAAGCTTTGAAACGTTCGAACGGTTCATCTCTTCTCTATTCTGTCTGTCTGTCTTTTTTATCATCTCTTCGTCTAATACCCTTCACTTTAATTAGCCCTGTCAACCGGTAAACAATAAAACCTTATTTCTAACGAATTAATTTCGAACAATTCCGCGGGTTGGCTTTTAAGCGCGAGCTCACGGTAAACGCAACGGCAACAGCAACGTCGGCGGCTTTTATTCCGCAGGGGCTTGGCGTCTCAAAACGTAACGAGCATCCCTTTCATGTAATACTATCTTCAACCCTGTACCTTCCCGGAATTCCTGGGACGCGAACCTTAAGCTCCCTGAGGATCCTCTCGATGCCATGCTCGAAAGAGTATCTCTCTCTCTCTCTCTCTCTTTCTCTCTCTTTCTCTCTCCTTCATTTATGAACGTTAAAAACGAAATATTAACTTTGAACCTTCTACGACCTTTCTTTAAAACTACTTCATATTTTCGATATATCTTTGATACGTAATTTATATCAACGAAGATCCGATATTTTTCTAGCATAGTTATTCGACAATTTTTTTCTTATTGTTTTTTTAGTAAAAAAAAAAAGATTTAATTAATTCAATTGAATCAAATAATAAATTAACAACTAATTACAAAGATACATTTTAAGTTACATGTAAAATTTATCGTTTTTCATCGAATTATGATGCCTCGAAGTTTAATGACGTTTGCCTAAAACTAGACAGTACAGTAGCTATCACAATTGCAGTAGTTACAAACGTTACTATTATATAATTAGTAATTTTAATTAAAAACATTTGTTTATAAACTTTATAAAATTGAAAATAATAATTAAAATAATAAATTACAAGTGATTAAAAAAAGATCATTTATATTAAAATTGCAAATGCGGTTTATTCTAATTCCAATAACACGAACAGGTACTTGATAAATCGAATTTCAAACGATCACGAGGATTACGAGGGAAACGTAATAGTACGATGCAAATAGTAAGAAACGAGCATCCTTCTCTCTCTCTCTCTCTTTCTCTCTTTCTCGCCTTTCTCTCTTTCTCCCTTTCTCTCAATCTCTATCTCTATCTCTCTTATAACTCTATACAATCGTGACGACATTTGGAGGCTCCCTTCGAAACTTCGGAGAACTGTTTCCGGTCGCTTCCGACGCGGATATTCAGTTTGATGGTTCAAACCGGATATTCGACTGGTACTCTTACCAAGTGGTTGCACGATCTAAGGATGCACGCGTTGTATCCTACAGATGGAGGAGAAGGGATAGAATAATGGATCGATGAAGGTGGAAAGCCTAAGAGGAACTTCGAGAGAGAACAGGGATAGAAAGAGAGAGAGAGAGAGAGAGAACGGCTTATAGCACCGCAAGTAGCTCATCTGCATTTCAAATGACGAGCCGTACCGAAGGTACCTCTCTTCCTTTTCTACATATATATTTGTGTGTGTGTGTGTGTATGTATATGTATATCACTACCTGGGCACCTGCTAAGTATACGCTTCCCTACGCTTTGTCCTCAAATACCGATCTATCCCAATCCTCTTCTTTCGATACGATACGAATGCACAAAGAGGAGAAAAAGAAGCAGACAGTCAAACAAAAAGAGAAAGCGAGAAAAAGAAAAAAAAAAGAGAGAGAGAGAAAGAAAGAAAGAAAGAATGAGAGAAACTGATAGAAAGACAGAGAGAATAACATCACTTGCGGTCGAACCACTACAATGTTCTCAACCTACCCAGAGAAAAGGAAATACCTGCGGATTTGTGGCTAAACGATGGGCAAATGAAAGTGAACGGAAATCGTACTCCTAGATTGACCAACCATCGTTTAAATTAGATTAGGGAATGCTGCTGTGCTTTTGCCTAATTTACCTAGATTCATGTTGTTCTACGGTAAGTGTCGAAATTTAACGATTATTCGAAACGAAGAGAGAACTTTGCAAATGTTAGAATTGACAGTACATTTAAGTTACATGGTTCAATTAGTCTAGGTAATATTTGAATTTGTTGATTAAAGAAGAGGAGAGTTCGTTGGGATAATTAATAATATTCAGATATATACATATATGTATATTAGGGGTACCGAAAAGTAATCAAAATTTTGTCGATGAGAAGAAATTTTACACTCACATTTAGTTCATGTCAATGAAAAATCGAAGGACTTTTTTAAAATGGGAATTAAACAATTTTCTTTTACGTAAGACAAAAAATGTTAAAAAATGATGAACAAATTTTTGCTTGATTAACATTTAAAATTTCTTTAATAAATAAATGTTTATTTTCTCGCCAGCAAAGAAAAATTTTGATTACTTTTCGGTCCCCCTAATATTTCGATATTAGAGATACAATAGATTATCTTTCTTTGGGTGTGTGTGTGTGTGTGTGTGTGTGTGTGTGTGTGTGAAAACCTTATTAACAATATTTTCAATTTCGTTGTTTTTTCTTGGTCAATTAAGTAAGAAAAAGGAAAAAAAGAAAAAAAGATATACAAACACAAGGCTAGCTCGTTTGAAATATAACAAAAGTGACGTTGTCTCACGTAAAGCTCCTGGGACTTGCGATGTAACTTCAGAAATACTATCTTCTCGTTTTCTTTCTCTTTCTTTCTTTCTTTCTTTCTTTCTTTCTCTTTCTCTCAACCGTCGTACGTCACTTTAAATTCCTAACGTAGTTTATTTCCTAGGAAAACACGAACGCGTTTGCATCGAAGTTAGAAAGAGAAACAGAGTGAAAGAGAGTTTTATCGTTTCAACGTTTATGCACTTGTAGTTTATTTCTGTTTCTTTTTTTTTTTTTATATTCCTGTTAGGAGAAATGAAAACTCGAGAGATTCGTAAGTGGAAAAAAGAAAGAAAAAAAATAAATAAAAAGAAAAGAAAATAAAAAAAAAATAAAAAAGAAAACCAGAAAAATAAAGTATAAAGTTTTCAGTGGATTTTTCTTTTGACTGCTTTGTCTGCGATCGTGCGTAAAATCGTATCGTAGAAATGGAAAATAGAAATAATAAAAAAGTACCTAGAGGGAAAAGGAAAAAGAAAAAAAAAATAGTACATAAGCTCACTTACCTTGCCAACTCCGGTAAGCTCTTTGACTCCTATCCTCCTGAGAAGGGCCGGTGGTGCCGGAGGCGGTGACTTGAGAAGCAATGCGGCGTATCCATTAGGAAAGATTAGTTGCTCTTCTGGCCCGATGTTTTCGTCACCTGAACGTCGTCGACGATGGGGACTCGACGACAGGTTTAACTTCTGTGCGGCTCTGCTTAAACGATAACAAAATTATTCAATTTACGTATATAGATGATTTAATTTAAAATCGATATAAGAAATATTCAGAGTTGTTATGATAAAATAAAAGAGAAGAAAAAAGAAACGTGCCGTGGAGCAGCGTGTATCGATGCGGAAACTAGTCTATTCTGTTCAAAGGTAAATAACATACTGACAAAAGTACGTAGAAGAAAAACAGAAAACGCGTTTTTGCGTTTTCTCATTCTCTCTTTTTCTCTACGAAGTATTGTATTTAAACAAAACACTTTTAGATATAATTACGAAAGAACGTAATACATATACTATATATTAAATTTGATATTATTATATATATATATATATATATATATAGATATATATAATATAAAATATAATCAAAAATTGTTTCACATTATTTTAATTTATATTTTCATTTGTCGATCGAAAAATTCATCAGCTCGTATAAATAGACAATAATAAAGATAAACATTATGGTATCAATAAAAAGTTAAAAGTAGACGACAAAAATAATGAAAAATGGTAATACGTATACGTTTCGATCCGTTCGTACCATTCGACGAAGATAAATAAGCGTATCGAAGGTAAACAACGTACTGATATAAAAATCCGTAACGATAACATATATCTTTACTTAACGGTATATGTAAACAAACTGATTTTAAATACGATTACAAAAATATATTTATATAAATTACTTCGTAATAATATAATACGTATTAAAATAAATTAATTGAACAATTGAATTTATTAAAGCAATCGATTATAAAATATTAATGCAATTTATTGTTTAATATTTGAAATATTTAATAACATGTAAATGGCTAATTCTTCTCTTTCATTTAAACTCAACATAGTAACATTTGATGATACGTTAACGAGAACACGGCACCGTACTCATATACGTCGTTTTCTCATCGTAGAGACTGGATGAGCCAGCAAGAAAGCGATAAAAGGAAATTAAGGTGACTCAGACGATGTCTTACGTGGATTAAACGTGCAACTTGCTCTCTCGAATCTCTACCTTCACTTACACCTGTACATATAGATATACCTATATATATATCGAAGATAGGTAGAGTATCTTGTACCCGTCTCTTCTGGTCGCTAACGAGTGAAAGAGAGAGAGAGAGAGAGAGAGAGAGAGAGAGAGAGAAAGAGAGACTATGTGTATATGTGTGGGTGTCTAGGATTCCGGAAGGTATGTGTCTCGAGGGTGACTGGGTGACATACTCCGCAGGGTGGCCCGGTAATCAGCGAAGGTAATGTGCCGGAACTCGGAGCAGTCCGGGGTACCGGCGCGTTTAAAGGGGTGCCTTCAACGTAGAGGGGATGAACCAGGAGGGTGGGAAAAAGGGGAGGAGAAGTGGTGGTGGAGACTCGGTTTCGGCGACCCTAACTCCACCACCCCGCGGGCCTCGTTAACCCACGCTCTGTGAAATTGGAAATACCAACGATCTCTCTCTCTCTCTCTCTCTCTCTCTCTCTCTCATTCTCTCTCTATCTCTCTTCCCTCCTTCTTTCTCTTTCTTTCTACCTTTCTCTTTTTCTCACT